TCCCTGAGGGGTGTGATGCTATGCGAAGTAAACTCTCTGCTCTTGAGCAGAATAAGACATGAGATATTGTTTTCCTGCCTTCCGAAAAACACTCGATCGGTTGTAAGTGGGTTTTTCGTGTAAAGTATCATGCTGATGGTTCTTTGGAGAGGTATAAGGCCTGTCTTGTAGACCAGGGATTCACACAGCAGGGAAGTATTGATTATTTCGATACTTTCTCTCATGTAGTTAAGGTGACCACTATTCGACTTCTCCTTGCTTTGGCTGCTGTTCATGGTTGGTTTCTCCATCAATTGGACATTAATAACACTTTTCTTCACGAGGAGCTCAGTGAAGAGGTTTACATGAGATTACCTCAAGGGTATTTTTGTAAGGGGGAGTCTCTTCCTCCCAATTCAGTCTGTCGATTACGGAAGTATTTGTACGGTCTGAAACAAGCCTCTAGACAATGGTTTCAAAAACTCAGTTCCACTTTGCTTTCTATGGATTTCGTTCAGTCCACAAATGATCATTCCCTTTTCTGAAGTTTTAGGGATATGTTATGCTGGCCATTCTGGTTTACGTCGATGATGTTATTGTGGCTTCTAATGATTCTACTGCAATTAAGCATTTCATCTCTTCCCTTGACAGTTGCTTTCGGTTGAAGGATCTTGGTCCTCTTAAGTACTTCCTCGGTGTTGAAGTAGCTCGCTCCTCCAAGGGTATTTTCATCAGTCAACGTGAATACATTCTTGACATTCTTCATGACACTGGTCTATCTGGTTGCAAACCTAAGTCCACTCCCATGGAGCCTAATTTGAAGTTATCACAACATGATGGTGATTTACTGCAAGACCCCATCCCTTACAGGCTCCTCATTGGTAGATTGATATACCTCTCCTTCACAAGACCCGATGTTTCTTTTGCTGTTAACATATTAAGTCAGTTCCTCTCCACTCCAAGAGTTCCTCACTTACATGCTGCTCATCGCATCCTAGCTTACTTGAAGAATACTTTCGGTCAAGGCATATTTTTCTCTGCTGACTCTGCTCTCTTACTTAAGGTGTTCACTGATTCTGATTGGGCAAGTTGCCCTGATACCCGTCGTTCAGTGTCTGCCTTTTGTGCTTTTCTTGGCCACTCCCCTATTTCCTAGAAGTCCAAGAAACAATCTACTATATCAAGATCTTCTGCAAAGGCTGAGTATAGGTCAATGACTAATGGTACTTGTGAGGTTGCTTGGCTTTTGTCTTTGCTGCGTGACTTTCATATTACTCATTCCTCCCCTGCCCATCTCTACTGTGACAATATTGCTGCTCTACATATTGCTGCAAACCCAGTCTTTCATGAACGTACGAAGCATATAGAAATCGATTGCCATTTGGTTCGAGAACATATTTCCAATGGTGTGCTTCAAACATTCCCCATTACTTCTGTCAACCTGATTGCAGATTTGTTGACTAAGGCCCTTCACCCTACTCAGTTTCATTATCTTCTTTCCAAGATGTGAGTGATGAACATTCACTCTCCATCTTGAGAGAAAGTTTTACAGATACATTTTATTTTTCTCTTTTTATACTATATTCAATGTTTGCTTTCTGTTTTCTGTTATCCTTTAGCTGTGTATTTTTGCTCTCCCTTTTTGGTTGGATTCCCGCATTTCTAGGGAGTTTGTTATTCTCATTTTCAGCTATATAAAACTCCACTGTACACAATAAAAAAATCAATCAAGTTGATATTGTATGTATCTAAATATGATTAGCTCGTAAGAACTTTGAGTGACTTTATTCCACGTGAATTTAATTGTTTTACTTTTGTCTGATTCTTGTATTAAAGCTAGAGAGTCCTCCAAACTTTATACTTCTCTTTTGTCACTCGATCTGTAGATTTATAAAATTCGAATTTCAGAATTGAAAATAAAAAAGGACAATAATATATCTAATCTTGAAAGGGCTTCAAACTTCAGAAAATACCACATAATTCTCCATTTTAGAATAAAAATTCTAGAACCATAGCTATACGACGATTTTATTTTTTATTTTTTTAAAAAAATTCCCGGTCGGTATCGTTAAATTTGTAGTGAACATCAAATCATATGCTTCTCACTGCATAATTAAATTGTTGTAAAAAAAAGTTGATTGAAGATCTACTAAAAAAAGTTGATTGAAGTAACATATAATAGTAAAACACTAAATTGTAAATATTTCCCTTTTTCAAGCACTCTCATCTGGACAGAGTATTTGGAAGAAATCAAACATTACAAAAAAAAAAAAAAATTGTTTGACAAACCAAAGTAAAAATACAGTAACTAATAATCAACGAAACGTGGATTTTAATTTTAAAAATTTTCCCGATAAGAAATGTAAGCATTTCGCAGAGTGAGCGTCACGGTAGGTTCAATTCCTGCGCCACTTAACGTAACGTAGTTAATACACACACACACGCACGAAAGAAGAAGAAGAAATAACCACCGCCAGATATAAATAAGAAAAAGATCTGAGATGAAAATTTACTATTAACATTCTCCAGAGGGAACAGAGGGGGTCAAAGCAAGAAAAGAGTCAATAACTAAAAAGATAGAAAAAAATAGACAACATCAACTGCTTACAACTACCGAACCTACAAAGGCAAACACTACGTTGTATGATTGTCCTCGTCCCGTCAAGTCACCTTTTCTGGCACATGGAAATTCATTATGTACTGACGCACGCAGCCATTACCTACACGTCCATGGACAAACGCAACCATTAGGATTTCACGTTAATGATTTTGCAAACTGTCAATAATTGCTAGTAACTTCATAAATCGTATCATTAATCAATGTTTTGGTCCATGGATAAAAGGCGTAAAGAAAATATTACTACCCGGGTTCAAAATATGAGGACAAAAAAAAAAAAAGAATAAATGACAAAAAAAAAAAAAAAAAAAGCAAACCATGTCGCAGTTGCTGATTTGGGCCAGTTTTCTGGATCATAACTAAGGTTCGATTGAAACTCTTGAGGCCTCAATGCTCCTAACAGGTTCCTTACATGCCCATAAAATTGCACCAGTTACAACCAAACGGCTTTTTTATTGTCGGAACGTTGCTAAACCTATACCATTTAATAATTGAATATTCGTCGTAATTAATATAAAATCTAATCAGAAGTTTTAATGCAAACAAAATTATACCATCAACCTCAAGGTCCAGAAAGTAATTTGATAGATCGGTTTTCATCTGGCTTAAACAATTGATGAAAATTAACAACAGTACTACTGCACCACACCAGAATTGCATAAGTATTTGTTACGTCACCTCTCTTGAAAATGAGAGACCTTATTTATATGACATGATTCATATAAACGGTTGTAATAGGATACACCCGTAATAAATGACCAAAAATGGACACAAGAATACCCAAAAATAAGTTTTTCTTTTTCCTTTTTTTTTTTTCAAGTCACAGTTTATCTATTTTGAAAGTTACACGTTGCGATTCTTAAATTGAGCTCAGCATTTTTTCATAACGAAACCTAGTCATCATAGTATAATGGGAGAATATTTGGGAATCAGGAAAGTATCACAGAAAAACAAGGCAATACTATAACCTGCACTAATGGAGTCAACACTCATCAGTAACTACTAAGATTTCAGACAACCGAAAACAACAGCAATGTAATCAACGAGGGGATGACTTTTGGCAAAAATGTTCTAAAGGCATCCCTGGGTGTAGAAATTGTTCCGAGTAAAATTTTGGCCAAATTCTTCTAGCAAAATGATTCCACAATTTACATCCACATCAGGTTGAGGGTGCTAATCACCTCAAGCTGTTTTGAGTAAAGGTATTAGTAGAATAAATTGAATAATGTCAGCAACATAAAATTAAAATAGGATGAAAGTAATAATTGTATTCCAGGAATTCATCAATTGTCAAAACCACCTGATACTCAACATGTCGTCACTGAATAAACAAAATATTTAAAAAGGGATTTTTTTTTTAAATATATTGCCTGAAATATATAAAAAACCTCCTTCCTACATTTAATTAGGTCAAATAAACTGACTCTGATATTTTTACAGGGGAAATACAAGAATAAACCGAAAGAAAGCATAATCTAGGACATGAAACATTTTTACCTAAATTGTGTACTTATATTCTGTTTCATTTTAAAATTGTTGACCATTATTGCCATCCTGTTGAATTTTACCTGAATAATAACTAACGTAATCCCTCTAGGCCAGCGTTACAGATGGAACTGCAAAACGATGTGCTCTGACTCTGTTTTATTTATACGTCTCTTCAAACAAAGTCATCAGAGGATAGAACATTAATAATGATGCATGTAATAAAGTATTTACGGCTCTGATGAAGTGATAATAATAAATTCCTAATTAGTTTCTTCAGAGCATTTTAAGAAAGAAAAGCAAACAAGTTTTGTCCAGGTGCCGACTTTTCCTATGAATAGTTACTGGTCCTTACTGTTTTGAGTTAGCCGTAATCATTTTAGAAGGTTGGTTATAAGACATGACCCAGACATCAATCGCAATCACGTGGATATTATCGCATTGCCCATAAATTTAGAAACTACAGTGAGAATTTATAATTTTCATCTTAAATTTCCTGTCTTGAATAAGGCACAAAAATCAACAAGTTCGCTTAGCAGGGTAATTTTCGTAGGCTACTAGTCAATTAAAAAACTATTCTTACCAAAAAAAAAAAAACTATTCTCTCTAAAACCCATTTGGTGGAGTAATTAGGATAGATTCACAGTTGATATAAATTCATTGGGAATCAAGTAATGCAAAAGGATCTAGAGGTGATAAGCTTTATATTATTATCCCTTTCATGGACCAAACCAGAATTTGTAATTTTTATATCCTCACCATTGGAGGAGTAATAACAGGGAAACAGGAGAAACCAGGGGGAAGTCCGAATTGGCATTTGGTACCAAAATTTAAGATTCAGTCAACCGATCCCTGAGAATGGTTTAGCTGGGAAAGTAGTAAATAGTGGCAACTCTAAATTTACAAATTTGATCACTAAGTGTCTTCAAATATTCTTTGGAAGCACATTCAAGATTCTTACATAGTGAAAATTACAGCTCACAATGAAATAAGTTATAGAATGATTGAATTCCCAACCCTAAGAAAGGGGGGGGGATACTCAAACCCTACAGCTAAGAAATAATGGTATACAAAACTTAAAACAAAAGTTATTAACATGCAATTGCAGAAGAGAAAAGTTCAAGAGTTAATATACCCTATTCTATGGCACAATATTGGTATCTAACAACACATTCCAGCAATTGAGAAGGTAAGCTATAGCAATAAAAAAAACAAACAGAAAAAATTATTATGACATATATGGGAGATAGAGAAAATGAAACAGCATATGATGGAGTTTAAAGCCAAAGAATTCAAACCAATCAGAAATAAGATAATAATAAACAAAATTAATGATAGCGCACAAAATAAGCAAAAGTAAGGTCTACTACAAATGGGGTATTTACTAGACTCTATCTGAACCATAGTGAAAGCATTATGCACGTACCATAGGGATAGCATCAGAGTTAATGTATCTATATATCTGAAACTATATTTGAAACTAAGTCATTTAATGAGCCAGTCTTACCAAGGAGAGTACTGTAGAAATATTATGACGGGAGAATTATAAATAAAAGAAAAGAGACCAACTTATTTTCCTACAAGGACCAAATACTATTAATTCTCCCTATAAAGTAGATTCCTAAATGTGCAGAAAATATTCAACCTAGGTTAGTTTATTATGATATAAAGATTTCATCCATTTCAAAGAATTAGTCATAGGATAGTAACTTACAGAAAACAATTCTTATTGTTGATTTCCTGAGCTGTGCCCTCCTTGTGTTTGCTGTTGCTGTATCTGGAGGAGAAGGTTGGCAGCAAACTGTAATGTTGACTGGTATCTCTGGTTCTTATCAGCCTCCACTTCTGATGTACCCTGACCAACACCAGGGAAAGTGGGTTGAAGTTGCTGATTGGGAGGCTCCGAGTTAACATTGTCCACTGTATAGGGCGTCACAGGTTGTTGCTGTGAAGGATTAGCACTGGGAACTTGATTAAATGAGGCAGTAAAATTATTAGGTTGCTGGACAGCCCCAGAACCATATAAAACAGAGGCATCGGTTCCCTGAACCACTCCATATCCTTTCTGGGTGCTGGGGGACACTTCAAACTGATACTGATACTGCTGACTGACTTGAGGGGATACAGCTACCTGTCCACTTTGAGAAGGTATGACGAAATTAGTCATGGGTCTAGATGAAACAGTACCTAGCTGCTGCAGGTTGGCAGCAGTATCTTGGAGATGAGAACTGCCAGAGACCACTTGAGCAGGGGGAGCAGTAGTAGATGCCGGTGGATAAGGCTGATATTGAGCACTGTGAATGTTGTACATACTCACAAACTGTTGAGGGGGACGACTGGGTGGACCTGCAATTTCATGATCTTGCTTCCAAAAATGAGATTTATTTCCATCATTAGGTGCAACAGGAGGAAATGGTGGCTTCACAGTCGAGGAGCCAACTGCTGTCATTGCTCCAAAAGTGGCAGATGATTGTGTAGTTACAGGGAGTAAAGAAGTTAAAGATGCAATAAGCTCAGGTGTTAATGTAACTCCAGCTTGGGATGCAAAAGCAGTATTAGTAGAAGCATAATCAGGAGGAACAGAATGAACAGAGGGGGGACCACTTGTAGCTGGATGAAGAGGTTTTGGAGGAAGCTTAGAATCCTCATGCAACAATCTGTTATAATCCATTGTCGAAATCTGTTCCTCCTTTGCAGAAATTGAACCATACACAGCTTGTGGAGGAGGAATCTGCTGCATATGCTGAGTTGAGGGTGAGCTGCCTGGAACGGGCTGGAATTTAAGAACCACACCATATAAACGTTCAGGTCCTGTAATTTTCAAAACCTTGGTCAAGAAATCAGAAGGAGGTACCAAGAATAAAGTGGTGCTATCAACAAACTTGGCAACACCGGCACGGTTTTTTGCTCTGAGATAACAAAGGAAATCAGTGTATGAAGCAAAATCCTCTTCGCTATCAGGGAGAAAGAAAACAATGTCAAAACCAATTGCATCAGCATAGTGTTTCGTGAGTATATCCAATCCCGTCCTAGCAGAGCAATCAATAACATTGGGACTGCAGCAAAAGCACAGAACAAACTTTAATTACAGCAGGAAAAGAGTATCATGAAAAACTAGGGGCAAACATCAAAACATTAACAAGAAAAAGACAAAATAAAAGGGGAGGGGAGTGCACTGTGCTCAATTCCAAGCCAAAAACTAAATTAACCCTAGTCAGCTATATGTGGACATTGCTGGCAATGAGGAAAATGTAAATGAAAAAGAAGCCAACAGAAAGAAACTGATTCCAAGGATCACAGCTATTTACTTAATCTTCTTCCTTGGTATCCAAAACTTGACCGAGACATGAAGAAAAGGGAAAATTATACTCACAGCTCAGTCCCTATCCCTTTCCCAATAGGCACACATCTAGCATGACAAATAGGCGTTCCCCCTTTTGTAATAGTTCCACGCCATATATGATCAATATCGGGTTGGGCAGAACCAGGTCCTCCAGCTGTGATCCTAGTGCCCACTGGACCAAGGTGACTCTTTGGACCAGAACCACCTCCATCAATAAATGGATCATCTATATTCCTTGAAGGAAATCGAGCATCATCAATGAGCAAAGCACCATCTGTCCTTGAACGTTTAGAATCTCTCTGAAATTGGTTGTCAAGTACATCCCATGCACCAGAGTTGGATCTTGTAGGAGGCCTAATATTTGGCACAGAAGGAAGCAATCCTGGTGCAGGAGGAGATGGCCTTTTCCAGTTTGGACCCATCTGACTTTTGGAGCTACCATCCTGAAATTTGTGGAGTGTGCCCATCTCATTAAACTCATGACCAGAGATAAGAGGTTCAAGACCTTGAGGACCAAAAGGCCGCATTGGAACATTAGTTCCAATAATACCACCAGGTGGCAAAAGTCCTGGAAAATTATTTGGAACCAGAGGACGATTATGACCAAATACATCCATCTGCAGTGGTCGAAATGGATGCTCATTAGGTAAGACATCAGGTATTGGCCCTTTACTTCCAGGATAAAAGCCAGGTACCAGCTCACTGCTTGAATACATAATTGTTATTCGAGGGTCATTAAACAGCCGTCCTTCAAGACCCTCTTTGGCACGCCGAGCTTCATCAACACTTCGAAATTCAACAAGTGAATAATGTCTTGAAGGAAAACTCTTGATTCTCTCAATTTCACCAAATAAAATCATGGCATTGTGGAGCATTTGTTCATCAATCTGAAAAGAAGGAGGAAAACCTATCCACAAAATCTTACTGGGTTGACCATTCCTCCCCATTGAAGGTTGTGAATGCTGTGACAAAAGAACGAGTATTTGTAAGGAACAATAATAAAGTTCAAGTGATAGGTATGAAAATGAAAACATCAACCATTACAGCTCTGCCTAACAATGTCTTGTCTTCCCAAAACAAACACATAACATGCATCCAATGACAGACAGATAAACAGGACTAATACAACACAGGTTGTGGGAACCTAACCGGTATTCTTGCCTGAAACTGTCCATAATCAACCAAAAGATCCTATAAAAATCAGCAAAGGAAACATTAGCTACATGAGAATAATAGACAAGAGAAAAAATTAAATCGCAAAAATATCAGTAACTAGAGCATTGAAATTTGTATAAGGAAAAATCCAATCCACCAATTTCTATAAAAACATGAAAGAAATCAGGACAAAGCTCATATAGCCCACATCCAAAAACACAATTGAATCAATCAGATAATGCTTTAAATTAAAGCAACCCAAATCTCCTTTTATAATTACAAAGATTTACAAAAATGGAATATTGATTAAGGTAGTCAAGATCAAAACTTAAATCGTAAGATCGCATGATCTTATGATCTTCACCCCAATCACACCCACCAATTTGAAATTGGTGAGATTTGGGTAGGATTGTCAATCAGGCTCATAGAAGCTGTGGAATCGGACAATCGTAACATGCAGGGTGAACCACCATTGAAGGTGGCCGATCAACCCATTTTTGAAACCCTAAAAAAACCAAGCCCTCCTGAAACCTAAACACGCCAAGCCCCATTCAACCTCATCTAAACATCCCTTTCTCTCAACCCTTTCTCTCATTCTACCTCATTTCTCATCTGATCCCATCGATCTAGTTGATGACTAGGTGTTTGGAATTGCTTCATTGCTAGGGTGCTTTGATATGTGGGTGCATCGATCCGTGAGTGGCGAGGTGGTGATTCATCCCAGCGGTCAGTAAATCTGTGAACCCATTCTCTTCTTTCCCTCAATCTGTTTCTGAGTAACGGCATGTAGGTCGCTTGCTGTTGCTGGCTTGCTACTTTGATTTGTTTCAGGTTTGGCTGTGCCCTGTGATTGTGTTATGTTTGGTTGTTTAGTGTATATATATATATATATATATATATATATATATATATATATACATGTTTAAACATAATTTTGTACTTTAGGTAGGATATTATGACTCCGTGTTACAATCTCACATTTTATGTGTCTATACCCCCAATTGGTTTTGCGTAGAATCTTGATCTTGACAACATTGGGGTATGTTTGATATGCTAAAAAATACGGAACAACATAGCACCAAAAAAATTATACTTAGTTTGATTGTTCAAATAAAAGAAGCACGGGACAAAAAACTCAATGGACAGCACAAATCTCTAAATTTTTCTTACCCACTGAATCAGGTTACAAATCTTGTGCACAACACAAAAGAAAAAGACGAATAATCATACCTCTTCATTATCCCAATTCTATTGAGCAAATAATGCACAATACGAAGGGTATTATGATAAATTGAGTTATTCTATCCATGTATATCACAAAATTTTTAGTCATGTGCACAGGTCATCAAATGGCTAACAGTAAAAAATTTCCTGTGGCTCAACTACTTGTGCTATACTTTACTATTTGTGTTGTCCCTCAATATGCATCAAAACAACCACGACAATGATTAATTCAATAGATAACATTCCCATTCTGCATAATTTTCAAACAACCACTTCCCACTAACCTAATTGAGACTACTTTATAGATGCAACCATGAGGCATCAGGATGCTTGTAGCATAACAGGTAATTGAATAAAGAAGGGCAACGGGACTAAACAAAACATTCTTAAATATCCAAACCTACTTTTTTTGTAGATTGTGATCGAAGGAAGTCAACACGAATCTGGTCCCCACCTATACACTTCCCGTTCATGATTTTCATGGCCCGAGTAGCATCATCCAAATTTAGAAATTCAACACATGCAGTATTGCGGTCTCTGAAGAACTTAAAATCCTCAACTTCACCAAATTTACGAAATTCTGCTTCCAATTCTTCCTTCGTAGTAACTGGGCTAATACCACCGACCCATAGATGTTTACATGGCTTTGCCTGAGAACATGGTTTATTCAGTTTAAAACACCTATTAGATTTGCTAAAAATAAGTGACAAAAAAAAAAATTATACTTCATTTGGTTGTTAAAATAGTACACTAGGCAAAAAGCAAGCAACCAAAGAGAAAACACAAATATCTAAATTTTTGTTACCCACTAAACTAAGTCAAAAAATCTTAAACCAATAACCTTTTTCTCTTCATTATCTCAACTCTATTATGCACAAAACAACGCACAATACAAAACTTATCCTATATATGAATATAAAAGAACTATTTCAACCAAAAGTTTAAGGTGTTGTGTCAGACTACGTTAATAGTTTTATATTTTTTTAACACGTCCCCTCACACGAGAGCTGATTGAGGTTGAAGAGTGGATGATGCATCAGACCCAACCTACTTATGCTACGAAACTCTACAATCTACACTAACTAATTATTTTTATTAATAGAATGGTGGTGTTGAGGATCGAGATCGACTTAGTCATGTCGACTTTGATACCTTCTAAACAACAAACTTAAGCCGAGGGTGGTTTTATATTTCTCTCACATGGATATGTGCTTTTAACTCAATTGTCCGTTTGTGCTGTCTCTCAATATGCATCAAACACAACAAAGACACACATTGAAAACTTAGGAGAATAAACGTGTTGGCATCCAAATGTAAAAGAGAACAAACCGGTCTGGCAAACTCAATTCTGATGGGAATCCCGCGCAGAGAAGCGCCTTGTAAGGCGGTCTTAGCGGCCTTAGCATCTTCAATGCGCTTGAAGAACAGAAAAGCGTAATTCCGAGACGAATAGGTGGTGACGCTATCGAGAGCGCCGTATTGAGCAAAGAGCTCCATGAGATCGGAGTCGGTGACCTCCGGCGACAGATTCCCAACCCATAGGTTGTTAGAAGGGCTTCTCCACTCCTCCGAATCCTTCACCGCTTCCATAGGTTTCGTCGGAAACGGCATTGTAATCCAAGAAAACAACGCCAACGATGGATACTAACGGGTTTTTGGACGGAGAAATCCCCAAATCCAGTTAGTTATTTGTAAATACTTGAGAGCCAAAGAAACCCTAATCGGATTTTGATTATCGTAATGACATGTGAGAAAGAGACACGTAGTCACGTGGCCGTTTACAGTTTACAAGGACGCCACCTCACCACTCTCAAATAACGAATTCCCAATGCTGAATGCGGTGAATGACTGGAATAACATAATTTTAAAAAAAAATTGTTAAAAAGTTAATTAAATTTTGAAATTGGTTATTATTCTATCTATTTTTTTCTTCTTATCTTTATTTACTGTTTTCCAACTAGATCAGAATATCAATAAGAGAGAAAAATAATAAAGGTAGTTAAAATTTTGATCTAATAATATTAGAGAGTAGTAAACAAAAAAAAGAAATAGGCAGAAATTATAATAACCTATCCCATTTTATATATAAAATTACTAAAACGGATATGTGAGTGATGGTAATGGTGGTAGTGGGGTGGAATAGGAAAATATTTTCAGTACTCCCATTCTACTGAGTACTCGGTACATCATTTACTAAAAATGACAAAAAGTAACACTTTTACACTACTCTCATCTTTATAGTTATTTTCACATATATCCTATATTTCCCTTTTTTATAAAGAAGTGTGTTCTCTTGCTGTAAAAAAAATGAGCTCGTGGAATAGTTGGAGTGAAGATGAGGTAAAATTGAATTTTAGCTTCTGATATTTTAAGAATTAAGGAATCCTAACTTCTAAGAAAAGTATTATTTTAACCTCTCTTTTTTTTAATTCTGCTTTTTAAAAAGTTTGCATCTAAACACATAAATGACCCAAAAGGATTTTTTTTGTTGTTGAAAAAACAACTTCTTAAAAAAAAAAAAAACCTATCCAAACACAATCTTAATCTTCTTTTATAATATTTGGGAGATATTATTATTACGACCTATTTTTTCTTATAACCTCTTATAATCTAACCACTTTTATGTTTCTTGGATCAAAATTAAATTTTTAATGAGAGATATTAATTCGATTTTAATCCAACAATCATAAAAATGGTGGTAAGAGATTACGAGAGAAAAGAATTTGGTGCAAGAATCGTAACATAAGAGTGATGCTAAGAAATTATAAGGAAAAATGTGTGGGGCCATCTGAAGAGAATAGAGAGAGAAAAAAAATTGGACTTCACACATTTTTACGGGTATATAAAAGATTTTTTTTTTGTATGCATACATTTGTCTATCAATCTCTAATACCATTAGATTAGACTATCAACTGTCTTTATCATTTCTCTCTCCTATTGAGATTATAATCTAATGGTATTAGAGAGTAATAGACAAAGGTAAGCAGAAAAAAACACAAAATAATATATCCCTACTCTTATAATGATGTAACATGCTTAATTTGGTTTTGCATTTAATATAAAAGAAAAATATACTCTTATGTTGTAGGAGAGTATTTTTCTCTCCTACACATACAATGATTTATGTGTTACTTTTTTATTTTTTTCTATAATAAGTGGGTCTCACCCATGATTGTCTCTATAATATGAAAGAACTTCTCTCTTATTGCATGAGATTAATAAAGCCCTAATATAAACCATTAACACAAACATTTAACTATTATTATAAAAAAACCGACTTCCAAATAATTAATACCGTAGTCAAACTTTTAATAATATAATAACACAATTAAATCATAAAATAATACTTATAATAAATCAAAAATAAACTATAATTTTAGTATTTTGCGAATTAAACTGAAAATGACAATATGACGAACAGTTAGGAACAGTGACTAAAATATCACTGTTCACCAAGTTTTTTATCTAAATACCACGCGAACAGTGTTATTTTTCAATCTGCCACGAGGGCAAGTTCGTTATCCGGTGTAGCGAACTCGGTTTGCTGACGTGTCACATTTCTAGTGGACACCAAGTTCGCTACCCAATGTAGCGAACTCCATACTTATTTTTTTTTTAATTTGATACTTGTTATCTACTAAAAATGTGACACGTCAGCAAACCGAGTTCGCTACACTGGGTAGCGAACTTGCCCGCGTGGCAAATTGAAAAATAACAATGTTAACTTGACATTTAGGTAAAAAACTTGATAAAGAGTGGCATTTTGATCAATGTTCCCAGCCATGTCTATAACTCAACTCACTCTAGTTCAATTACGATTACATAAAAGAGGGGGAATTTTTCCTATGTATGAGTAGATATCTACCTTATCTTTTTGGGACACAACCCTATGTTTGCATGTAATAAAAGCTATATATATATATATATATATATATATATATATATATGGATTCGCTTTTTTTACCGTCAATGTAAATAACTTATCTATATTGAATTCAAAACGACGTCGTTTTGAGACAATAATCAAGGTATTTTTGTAATTATAATCTATTTTAGGGTTATAATAGTCTTTTTTATTATAATATTTTAATTTTTCAAACCAAAACGACGTCGTTTTGAGAGTGAATGTAGATAACTTATCTACATTCACTTTAGAACATTAAAGCCTATATATATATATGGGAAAACATTTTCTCATGTTGCATGAGAATTTAATTCTCATGTTGTGGCCCTTCGATTTACGTGCAAAGTTTTTCTTTTTCTTTTTTTAATAAATGTGGGACCCACCAGTAGTTGAGTCACAACATGAGAATTGAATTCTCATGGAACACATGAGAAAATCAAACCCCTATATATAGGAATAGAATCCTAAACACCGATGTCAAATTTAAAGTTTGACACCTCATCTAAGAGTCGTTAAATAAAAAAAAAATCAATAGTGTCACATGCTTACAAATCATAGTTGTTGATCTTTTTTAATCTAACGACTCTCGAATGAGATGTCAAACTTTAAATTTGACACTGATATCAAAGGATCATATTCCACATATATATATATATATATATATATATATATATATATATATATATATATATATAATAATAATAATAAAAAACCTTATAATTATTTTTATCTCTCTCGTGGCTCTCACGATGATGCAAGTGGCCCCTACCCGACCAACCAAGAGTGTGTTTGGTAATAAGAGTCCAAAACGATAATATTAACACTGAATTAATGACAAATTGATCAATCTCAAATGTCAAAATGACAAGAACAAGAACAATAAGAGACAAGAAAAAAGAACAGCAGATTTGTGAATCCATCACTGATAGAGTCACATCAAATGCTCTTACGTACAAACTAATCCTTTTAAAATATTGACAATTCTCACAAGGGATTGCAATACAACTATCTCAAGCACAAAGTATGCTGAACATATACATATGCTACAAATAACTCCCAAATGAACTCAAAAACAAAATTAAGAAAATCATACTGAGAAGATAGCATCAAGCATATAACAGATGGAGTCATTAGCCTACTCTATACAGCAAAAGTATCTTTAGACTTCCAAAATTCAAACAAAAATTTCTAAAAATTATCCTTTGCTCTCCGGATGACAGCCAGAGCTTCTGCATCATCTGCTGTGACTGCAATCTTCAATGATTGCCGGATTGCTGCACTTGATGTACGAAGGAATGGATTACAAGCCTTTTCCATCTTCAGTGTTGTTGGAATCTGGGGAAACAGTACGTACTAATTTGGTTAGAGCAAAATGCAAAGGATTCAAGTATACTAACAAAGATATATAAGCTTAATAACAGTGATTCGTGACTCTTGAAAAAGATTAATAAATAAAGAGCTGTTAGGGAGAGTGAGGGAGAACGCTTCGAAGTTCAAACCATTCATTAAAAAAGTGCAGTTCTGAAACTTACCGTGGGCAAGCCTTTACTTCGAAGGTAAGCTACATGGGCAGCATAGGATTGAAGTTCCTTGTTTTCAGGTTCAATAGACAATGCAAATTTTGTATTACTCTGCCAAACTCCAAAGCACCAAAGTCAAGGTCACAACACTTGGGCTAAGAAAACAAAGCAAAGAACATGAAGGACAAAAGTAAAAATAACTAACCAATGTATACTCGTGTCCACAGTATACACTTGTATCGTCTGGCAAAGACATGATCTTTTTAAGAGAAGACATCATCTGTAACATGGATGAAATATTCAATAAATGAAGATACAACATGCATTACAAGAACACAAGCTTAGCTTATCAAGTAATTGACTTGGCATCACGCAAGAATTGGCTTGTATTGATAACCACACTTTGCATCAGCAACAACATATTTACTAATGAAGATCCAATATTCTCATGCAGCTAAGTATTATTATTTGACATAAAAGGACGCGAGTAAAAAATCTGTGCATCCTCATGAAGACATATATTCAAAGAATGAAATGAAAACATTAGTGTAACAATATCTAAACACATATTTAATAATGTAATGATTTCTAATAATAATAACATAGCAAGAAATAGCATAGCAACATATACTTCAATTCAACTTTTCATACACTAAGATTGCAGATTTGGGGGAAATTGTTTATTTGAAATTTGGAACATTCTATATCTGCAACTTAAAATTGAAAACATATACGAGTCACAGAGAAGACTTTCCCAACCTCATTTTAGACAAGGCCTTCCAGAAATAATTCAAATAACTGTACCATATTTTACACAGGCATTTACATTTACAAGTTAAGAGTTATAGAAAAGGATACTGATTATCACAAAATCCTCATTTCTTTGCAATTTAAATAAAAAAAGTCCCTTAATGCAGGTATTTTAAATTTTCAAGGACGTCTGGTAAAGGGATAACACAAGATGTATAAAATAAGACACATCGCAAGATGCAGTGACTTATCACTGAAGATAGGAATCTCAAACCTTAAAATGAAATGAAAGTAAATGCAATTCAAATCAACCTGTTCGGGGCTTCCTTCAAAGAGCTTGCCACATGATAAGCTGAACAAAGTGTCTCCTGTAAAAATTGCCCCAGATCCAGGAAAGTGGAAGCTTATGTGGCCTGCTTACAGTAGATAAATTTTCAACATTACAGTATAAAACTGAGCTAATATTCTTTTAAGAAAAAAATAAATTTTCAACATTACGAAGATTTTTCAATGCAAATAGGGTATGAATGTTACCTCGGGTATGACCAGGAGTGTCCATTATATGCACCTCATGGCCAGCAAACATCCACTTATCACCATCATTCAAATAGATATCAATGCCAGGAATCCTTTCCTTGTCAGTTCCTGAACCAATCACCTTTAATGCAACATGGGAAGTGTTAACATTTACACAAAGTTGTAACTAGTATGCATGCAAAAAAATAGATCAAATGTGAAAATCCAGACAATAGGGTTAAATAGGCATAATATAGAAACACATAAAGTGAGACAGCAGGAGCAATCAACTCCTCCAAAGTGCTTGATCGGTCATCAAAGTGCCCAATGTGTCAAATTGTCAACAATTAAACCAATAAAATTTGCAACAATTTATTTTCCCAAATTTCGCGGTTATTAAGTCTAACAAGTATGCTAGGTTGCGCAAATAATTTATCCTTCGAAAGGAAGGGTAATATTTCTATCCCACAGTAGAAGAAAAAAGGAAAGCAACAAAAAAGAAAAGAAAAGGTGTTGTCACTTGCCAAGGGTAGAAAGAAAGGATACCACAGAAATGATAAGTGACAAACAGTGCAAAGTAAACCTCACTTTTAATTTTCACTTTACATGGGGAATTGTATTTCAAACACAAACTATGTTGCTATTATCATTATCCGATGATGTTTACTGAAAATGCATATAGAACATTAATGGAAAGTAAAATAAACTTCAGCAGACGATATAAATATCACCTTTGCCCCGTATCTTGCTTTCAATTCTGCATTTCCACCTGTGTGATCATGATGATGGTGAGTGTTGAGAATGTATGTCAAATTTCGATTCTTCCTGCTCAACGCATCTATAACAGGCACAGCTTCAGAAGGATCAACAACACCAACTGTACCCGTATCCTCATCATGCAAAAGATATGCATAATTGTCCCTCAGGCAAGGTACCTAAAAATTTTAGTAAAAAATATGATAACATATCACAAGTTAGGCTTTCAGCATATTTCGTCAGAAACCTTAACAGCTTGGGTGACGTAATATTAATCCAATTGCACCATGACAACTTATAAAAGTTACAAGAGACCTGCTCTCACCAATTCAATCTGCAACGAGGAAGACATATTCACAACACTGCAAAATTGAGCTACTCTCAGTGAACGACTAGCTCCACGCAGTGTTTTCAATGGTGTAGAAAAGAATCGCATGAATCCATATAGAACGCCTTTTCTAAAGCAAATTTGTCTCACATCTGGCCACACACAAAACCCACTTCTCACCTAAAAAACAGAGAATCAAAAACATCCATTGACAAATAATCATCAGTCATCTCTTCAATCAAATCAATAAGTCAAAAAACAAAACTTAGTTATAGGTTATAATAACAAACAAACAAATACAAACATATAAATGCAAAATAGTAACCGAAGTATTTAAAAAACAAAATCCAAAATTAAATTGTAATATGAAAGTCAAGCAATTCCAAATTAAAAGGGATAGACAATATACCAAACCAAGTAATGAATTTGCAGATTATCACAAAACTCTCAAATAAACCAAGAACAACAACGATATTTGCTTCTTCTTCTTTTTTTTTTTCAATAAAAAATATATCTTTACATGATTTAGCTGCTGGGGTAAAACAATTTTGTGACAACGACCGAAAATCAAATTTTCCTTAGTATCATTCGTCGAATGTGGGGCAAAAGGTGCAACCATAGAGGAGATACGAAATATGTTTTTTTTTTTCTTTTTAAGGAACAAAAATTCGAAGGACACCATCCATATTCTCTTGTTTTCTCCGAAGCTCAGATAAAAACCTTAAATTTCACGAGACTAATGTTTTTTTCTCCCCACAATTTCCCAATTAAAAGATAAAAAAAAAAGGAGAATTATAACGAAATAAAAAAAAAAAAAAGGAAGAGAGAGAGAGAGAGAGAGAGAAACCTTAGAGCAAGGAAAGGTGGCCATTGCAGATGAAGCCCTTGAGAGCATCTGCATCTGCCTTTGAAGAGAAGAACAAAAAGAGTGGGTTGGCACTCTTTACTGTTTGGTTGAAAACGAATTTGCTTTTTCCACCATCTCCTCCGCAACCACCCCTACATGCTTATGAATACTCATTTTCACATTCTTCTCTTTCCTTTTTTTATATACTATTCTTATTTTTGTTTTTGTTTTCCTTCTCATTTTTGCGAGGTGGCAATTAAATCATGAAGTTTATTGTGCATCACACGACGGCACCAGTGAAGTTAGCGTATTCCACGTGGATAAAACTAGTCTCGAATAATATTCCCTTCGCATCATCATCATCATTACAAAGATTCCTCATATATCTTCTATATTTTTGCCAATTGTATCACAGAATTTGTTTTTTCCTTTTTGTGTATAAATAATATTCGTGGTTTCGGTTAATTAACAATTTTCATTAATTACAAAAGATAAAATCAAAAAAATATAAATATAATATAATTAGGACAAAACAAAAGAGGAACGGATTATTCGGCGTATCACTTTGTATTATGTCACCGGGATACGACACGACACGACACTCCGACACGTTAATTTTAAAAAATGTTAAATTTTGACACGTTAAGACACGTTTTGATATTATATAATATTTTTAATTTATGTAGTGTATATTATATTTAGTATTCAATAATCTAATAAAAAAATAAAGCTAAACTTATAATACTCATCAATTTTGCAAAGAAACAAAATATGTCCCAAAGGTTTATATTAAACTCAATAAAATTGTAATTGTAATCTAACGAATTTAATAGTTGAAACTCAAAATGCAACGCAACGTAACCTTTGAACTCTTTTTTGAGTTTTTGCAACGAGTATTGGAGTGTCGGGAAGTGTCGGAGTGTCGATGAGTGTCGGACACAACACGTCAAGATTTTTGAAGTGTCGGTGCTTCATAGCTTGTGGCTATAGATTTGCATCTTTTGTCTTTTATTTATAAAAAAACCATTTTCGCAAGTATTATAGTTCTGTAGTTTTTAAACCAATTCATAGCTCCCTCAAAACTAAAAATCCACTGCGACTAAAATTTGAAAACATATACCTGCTATTTTATAGTAAAGATAATTCTTAAGAAATTCTGTTAAACCAAAATAATTATTTTTTTATTAAATACATATTGAAAGGCATGATATGTCCAATTTTTTATTTTTTTTTATAAATAACCTAAGGGCGCGTTTGGTACAGGAGAAATTTTTATTTGTCCGGAATCTCGAATTTCAAAAATATGATTTTTATATTCAGTTTACGATAACATCCGAAAATTTAAAATTTAGAAAAATTCAGTTTCCCGGGAATCCTACGAAATGTCGCGTACCAAACATCCCCTGAAGGTATGTAATCTCTTCCAACCACCTTATTATGAGTACAGCCCCTAGAATATGCATTGGACTATGAAGGTAACTCCACACAACCTCTTTCAATCATCTTTTTCTTGAGATACGGCCTCTAAGATTGTACATACACAATTTCTTCTAACTTATCCCCTCAGACTATGGAGATAACCTCACATAATCTCTTCCAACCATCTTTTCTCGAAGTATGGACACAATATCTCCCAACTACTTTATTCTCGGAGTCGCCCTGAGATTGTGCATACACAACCTCATATGACAACCGGGTTCTCAAAAAATTTCAACATTTTACTTTAGCTAACCTTTAAACACTAAAACTCAATTATCAATTTAGCTACCTTTTATGGATGGTATGCCCAAATTTTATGAACATAATAACTATGGTTCAAATTTTATATTGACATTTTTTAAAAATAAAATAATATTAAGATTGACAGTGGAGTTGGCCAAGTTGGGGTGTGGGTATGAAAGGAAAATTGGATGGGTGACCATGTCTGATAAATGATTGTTGACATTCTGTATCTAGCAATCATGTTGTACCACGGCACCAAAGGTGACGAAGAATATGCTAGTTTCACTACCCAACTCACATTGAATGAGAATTGGTAGCTGAATCATAAATCAATTTGAGAAACGGTGTTGTTATCTTTATCCTCTGACCTCTACTACCCTTTCTTCCATCGTAGTTTACGCCTCATTTAATCTTTTGTCTTTTCAGCTTTTGCTTAGAATATGGGCAATGAATAAAGGGGTTGTATATTGTCACTTTTCATATTTTTCGCCAGGGTGGCATAGAAAATGAATGAAAAAGAAAAAGATAGAGCCATATTTGAATAAAATAAAATAAAAAAGAACTAAGATAAGAGTTAAAGGGTCTACATTAGCACAAGCCAAAAACAAAAATAACTTATCTGACGTAAGAGGAAATTTAATAATTTCATCTTTCATTGAAGTAACAGGTGTGATCTAATAATACAAAGAAATGAGGTGACTATAGTCAACTTTATTGTTGACGTCCATAACCACTACATTGCAGCTTGGGTCCTACGATGTTACAACACTCTCGAAAAACTTAATGGAAATTAATATTTGCTTGCTGCAGTTATTCAGCAAACAACTTACCACAATCATAATGCACATCTCAAAGTTTATCATGTAAGACCAAGGAATGCATATTTAAAAAAGAGAAAAGTGTCTGTCATTTTAAAAGAGATAAAGTTGTGTCATTGTAATAGATAGATAAAAGAGAAAAGAGAATTGACAAAAAAATAAAGGTGTGGATCTTATCTATTCGTGAGAGTGAAAAGATATAAATTATGTCATGGATAAATATTTTTTCCTTAAAAAAGTAATGAACACAAAAATTTGCAGGTTTAATGCAATAAATGTTGGAAAATAGGAGCATATCTTTGGTGCTATTGGGGTATGTACTCTTTTATTAAAAATAAAAAAGAGTGATGGTTAACCCCCAAGGGTAGCTCAGTTGGCAGCTGAGCTTCTAAGGGATTGCTTGGTGCAGAGATCAAACCCTGTCTCAAGCAGTTTCTTGGAAAATCTTTGGGGGCCAGAGGATAAGCCAAAAAATCTTCGGTTGGGGATTAGTCTCGTCCTTTCTCCGGTTGCGAAGCTTAGTGCACCCACTGTTACAATTAGGGGCTAGCCCAAACGAGCCGTACCCCGAGGGCATGGTGCCCGGAGAAGGTTGAATGAGGATACCTCCTAGCAATGTACCAAAAAAAAAACAAAAAAAAAAGTGAGGGTTTAAGGAAAAATAACCATACAAAAAGGGTAAAATAGTAAAAAAATATATTATTTTTTTAAATTGAATAAATGATGCACTGAGTCTTGGATACTTCTATAATACCGAAGATATTTCTACTTTCTTGTAAACACTTTGAAAATTGTGCCATCATTTAAAAAAAAAAAAAACAATCCCAAGATATTATTTCTACCGATGAGATAAAACATCTTTTGTAACAGGAAATTATTATTTCCCATAAATGTTATGATAAGCCGTAACAATCTAAAAGCTGCATGCCACTACACAATTACCCCCGACTATGGTAAATGGGAAAATGGTTTAATTAATATTCAAAAAGTTTTTGTTTGTGCTTATTGTTAGTAAAAATGTTACTAGTTACTGATATGACCTGGTGTAATCTTACGTGATCTATCTATATTGTTCACTTTTAATAATGGAAAATTTATCTCATATGTTTTTGGTTTTGGTATGCAATCAACTAATTTTTGTTTTTAGTCTGCCATCAACTGAGCCTATCTTCAATGCATATCTGAACAGACTCTATGATGGAGGAGTCCATAAAAAGGTGCAGCTTCACTTTCACGAGTCCCTGAGCTTAGTTTACATAAGGACTGCACATCATTTGAATGATAGATAAGAGTTTGAAAGGCTCATAGAAATTTTATACATCAGAATTACAGCAACCATTTAAAACAACAAGAAAAGCAATGACCGGAGATATTTATAATTAACATATTCCGCATTTTTAGTATATGTTATAACTTACACTTATTTCCTATTTTTTAGGACACTTTCTTAGCATGTAGAAGTTACGGGGTAGTTATTCTACCTTCGTGTTAGCAATATGTAGCAGTTACTTTATTCTAGTAGTAGGAGTTAGTTTTATATATCAGTAGCTTGTAATCCCTATTTAAAGGGTTTGATCTTTCGGTAAAAGATATCAGAAAATTTCTCCTTTCCTTGAGCTTATTCTAACAGTGCTCCATCGTTCACTTTCAGTCATTACGTATTTCACCATTGTTCAAGGTTCCTGTCAGACTTTACAATTAAATGATTAATCTTCTTGTCAAAGGCCTTTCTTTAAAAGATATATTATGTTTGAATGATGCTTATTTTCTAAGCATAACTTCTTTTTTTAATGTTCCACGTGGTTGTTTGGTGCATCATACTTGCGCACAAAGTCTCACTAACAGATTTAGGTTTTGACATAATTCACAATAAAAAGCTTAATGTCTTTCTATCGGCAAATATCAATAAAAAAAGGTAGATTCTTAATGGCAACTAATTATGGAGCAATGGTCCAACCCAAATAGCAAGAATCACGGAAAGCAACAACGTATATCAAGATCCATCCATATAAATAGAAAAGAAAGAAACATAGAGAGTTTTTAGGCTTACATGGTGATTGTTGCCTTACTAACAGTTATGCAAGTAGCGCGTAAGTATACACGACAACAAGTAATATAGGGCATATTTGAGACTCTTTTATCGTTCCCACAAGGATCTTTAGCGTGTGTAATTTGACTAGACTTTGTAATTGCTAAAACTGAATTTAATCTAAAAATGAGGTAACAATAAAAAGGAATTGACTAATCTAAAATGCTACTGACTAGTAACTATAAGTATATTTTTTATATTTTCAAATTTGATTTCTTGAATTAGAAAGTGGAAAATGAAAGGACAACAAATTAATATTTGATTGAAAAAGATTTTTATATAAAGATATTTGTAAACAAAATTAGAAGTGAGGTTTTTGAAAATCAAATGAAAATAAATCTAAGTTGGTGAAAAACAAATTGTAAAGTAGGTTGAGTTTCAGTTCCCCTTCCCCAACAGCCTCTAAATGAGTACAAATTACAAGCCCCTAAAAATTAATTCCCAAGTGATGGATTCTTTCTTTTTGCTTTTAATCTCTTAAAAACATTTTTGTCCTAAACAGACATTTGCACATCTCTGTGCTTACTTTCCCCGGTATAATGTTCGTTTTGTAAGTATTCAAA